TCAGAATCCAGAGATTTTGAGAAGATTGGAGAAACTTAATTTTTCGCCCAAAAATGAAAAAACGAAAGGGGTAACACTGTCGTTTTTTTTTTGGGTCAAATTTTGAATTTCGATATCTCAGCTCTGGAAGGGTCTAGAGCCTCCATTTTTGCACTCAGGTCAAAGTCTCCGGCCCTCTATCAGAATCCAGAGTTTTGAGAAGATTGGAGAAACTTAATTTTTCGCCCAAAAATGAAAAAAAACGAAAGGGGTAACACTGTCGTTTTTTTTTCGGGTCGAAATTTTGAATTTCGATATCTCAGCTCTGGAAGGGTCTAGAGCCTCCATTTTTGCACTCAGGTCAAAGTCTCATGGCCTCTATCAGAATCCAGAGTTTTGAGAAGATTGGAGAAACTTAATTTTTCGCCCAAAAATGAAAAAAAAAACGAAAGGGGTAACACTGTCGTTTTTTTTTCGGGTCGAAATTTTGAATTTCGATATCTCAGCTCTGGAAGGTCTAGAGCCTCCATTTTTGCACTCAGGTCAAAGTCTCGGCCCTCTATCAGAATCCAGAGTTTTGAGAAGATTGGAGAAACTTAATTTTTCGCCCAAAAATGAAAAAAAAACGAAAGGGGTAACACTGTCGTTTTTTTTTCGGGTCGAAATTTTGAATTTCGATATCTCAGCTCTGGAAGGTCTAGAGCCTCCATTTTTGCACTCAGGTCAAAGTCTCTCGGCCCTCTATCAGAATCCAGAGTTTTGAGAAGATTGGAGAAACTTAATTTTTCGCCCAAAATGAAAAAAAACGAAAGGGGTAACACTGTCGTTTTTTTTCGGGTCGAAATTTTGAATTTCGATATCTCAGCTCTGGAAGGGTCTAGAGCCTCCATTTTTGCACTCAGGTCAAAGTCTCATGGCCCTCTATCAGAATCCAGAGTTTTGAGAAGATTGGAGAAACTTAATTTTTCGCCCAAAATGAAAAAAACAAAAAGGGTAACACTGTCGTTTTTTTTTCGGGTCGAAATTTTGAATTTCGATATCTCAGCTCTGGAAGGGTCTAGAGCCTCCATTTTTGCACTCAGGTCAAAGTCTCATGGCCCTCTATCATAATCCAGAGTTTTGAGAAGATTGGAGAAACTTAATTTTTCGCCCAAAAATGAAAAAAAACGAAAGGGGTAACACTGTCGTTTTTTTTTTCGGGTCGAAATTTTGAATTTCGATATCTCAGCTCTGGAAGGGTCTAGAGCCTCCATTTTTGCACTCAGGTCAAAGTCTCACGGCCCTCTATCAGAATCCAGAGTTTTGAGAAGATTGGAGAAACTTAATTTTTCGCCCAAAAAATGAAAAAAAACGAAAGGGGTAACACTGTCGTTTTTTTTTCGGGTCGAAATTTTGAATTTCGATATCTCAGCTCTGGAAGGGTCTAGAGCCTCCATTTTTGCACTCAGGTCAAAGTCTCACGGCCTCTATCAGAATCCAGAGTTTTGAGAAGATTGGAGAAACTTAATTTTTCGCCCAAAATGAAAAAAACGAAAGGGGTAACACTGTCGTTTTTTTTTCGGGTCGAAATTTTGAATTTCGATATCTCAGCTCTGGAAGGGTCTAGAGCCTCCATTTTTGCACTCAGGTCAAAGTCTCACGGCCCTCTATCATAATCCAGAGTTTTGAGAAGATTGGAGAAACTTAATTTTTCGCCCAAAATGAAAAAAAAACGAAAAGGGTAACACTGTCGTTTTTTTTTCGGGTCGAAATTTTGAATTTCGATATCTCAGCTCTGGAAGGGTCTAGAGCCTCCATTTTTGCACTCAGGTCAAAGTCTCGTGGCCCTCTATCATAATCCAGAGTTTTGAGAAGATTGGAGAAACTTAATTTTTCGCCCAAAAATGAAAAAAAACGAAAGGGGTAACACTGTCGTTTTTTTTTCGGGTCGAAATTTTGAATTTCGATATCTCAGCTCTGGAAGGGTCTAGAGCCTCCATTTTTGCACTCAGGTCAAAGTCTCACAGCCCTCTATCAGAATCCAGAGTTTTGAGAAGATTGGAGAAACTTAATTTTTCGCCCAAAATGAAAAAAAACGAAAGGGGTAACACTGTCGTTTTTTTTTCGGGTCGAAATTTTGAATTTCGATATCTCAGCTCTGGAAGGGTCTAGAGCCTCCATTTTTGCACTCAGGTCAAAGTCTCACAGCCCTCTATCATAATCCAGAGTTTTGAGAAGATTGGAGAAACTTAATTTTCGCCCAAAAATGAAAAAAAAACGAAAGGGGTAACACTGTCGTTTTTTTTTCGGGTCGAAAATTTGAATTTCGATATCTCAGCTCTGGAAGGGTCTAGAGCCTCCATTTTTGCACTCAGGTCAAAGTCTCACAGCCCTCTATCAGAATCCAGAGTTTTGAGAAGATTGGAGAAACTTAATTTTTCGCCCAAAAAAAAAAAAACGAAAGGGGTAACACTGTCGTTTTTTTTTCGGGTCGAAATTTTGAATTTCGATATCTCAGCTCTGGAAGGGTCTAGAGCCTCCATTTTTGCACTCAGGTCAAAGTCTCACAGCCCTCTATCATAATCCAGAGTTTTGAGAAGATTGGAGAAACTTAATTTTTCGCCCAAAAATGAAAAAAAACGAAAGGGGTAACACTGTCGTTTTTTTTTTCGGGTCGAAATTTTGAATTTCGATATCTCAGCTCTGGAAGGGTCTAGAGCCTCCATTTTTGCACTCAGGTCAAAGTCTCACGGCCCTCTATCAGAATCCAGAGTTTTGAGAAGATTGGAGAAACTTAATTTTTCGCCCGAAAATGAAAAAAAACGAAAGGGGTAACACTGTCGTTTTTTTTTTCGGGTCGAAATTTTGAATTTGATATCTCAGCTCTGGAAGGGTCTAGAGCCTCCATTTTTGCACTCAGGTCAAAGTCTCGTGCCCTCTATCATAATCCAGAGTTTTGAGAAGATTGGAGAAACTTAATTTTTCGCCCGAAAATGAAAAAAAAACGAAAGGGGTAACACTGTCGTTTTTTTTTTCGGGTCGAAATTTTGAATTTCGATATCTCAGCTCTGGAAGGGTCTAGAGCCTCCATTTTTGCACTCAGGTCAAAGTCTCACAGCCCTCTATCATAATCCAGAGTTTTGAGAAGATTGGAGAAACTTAATTTTTCGCCGAAAATGAAAAAAAACGAAAGGGGTAACACTGTCGTTTTTTTTTCGGGTCGAAATTTTGAATTTTGATATCTCAGCTCTGGAAGGGTCTAGAGCCTCCATTTTTGCACTCAGGTCAAAGTCTCACGGCCCTCTATCATAATCCAGAGTTTTGAGAAGATTGGAGAAACTTAATTTTTCGCCCGAAAATGAAAAAAAAAACGAAAGGGGTAACACTGTCGTTTTTTTTTTCGGGTCGAAATTTTGAATTTCGATATCTCAGCTCTGGAAGGGTCTAGAGCCTCCATTTTTGCACTCAGGTCAAAGTCTCACAGCCCTCTATCATAATCCAGAGTTTTGAGAAGATTGGAGAAACTTAATTTTTCGCCCGAAAATGAAAAAAAAACGAAAGGGGTAACACTGTCGTTTTTTTTTCGGGTCGAAATTTTGAATTTCGATATCTCAGCTCTGGAAGGGTCTAGAGCCTCCATTTTTGCACTCAGGTCAAAGTCTCACAGCCCTCTATCATAATCCAGAGTTTTGAGAAGATTGGAGAAACTTAATTTTTTTCCCGAAAATGAAAAAAAACGAAAGGGTAACACTGTCGTTTTTTTTTTTGCGTCGAAATTTTGAATTTTGATATCTCAGCTCTGGAAGGGTCTAGAGCCTCCATTTTTGCACTCAGGTCAAAGTCTCGCCCTCTATCATAATCCAGAGTTTTGAGAAGATTGGAGAAACTTAATTTTTCGCCCAAAAACGAAAAAAACGAAAGGGGTAACACTGTCGTTTTTTTTTCGGGTCGAAATTTTGAATTTCGATATCTCAGCTCTGGAAGGGTCTAGAGCCTCCATTTTTGCACTCAGGTCAAAGTCTCACAGCCCTCTATCATAATCCAGAGTTTTGAGAAGATTGGAGAAACTTAATTTTTCGCCCGAAAATGAAAAAAAACGAAAGGGGTAACACTGTCGTTTTTTTTTTCGGGTCGAAATTTTGAATTTCGATATCTCAGCTCTGGAAGGGTCTAGAGCCTCCATTTTTGCACTCAGGTCAAAGTCTCACGGCCCTCTATCAGAATCCAGAGTTTTGAGAAGATTGGAGAAACTTAATTTTTCGCCCGAAAATGAAAAAAAACGAAAGGGGTAACACTGTCGTTTTTTTTTCGGGTCGAAATTTTGAATTTCGATATCTCAGCTCTGGAAGGGTCTAGAGCCTCCATTTTTGCACTCAGGTCAAAGTCTCACAGCCCTCTATCATAATCCAGAGTTTTGAGAAGATTGGAGAAACTTAATTTTTCGCCCGAAAATGAAAAAAACAAAAGGGGTAACACTGTCGTTTTTTTTTCGGGTCGAAATTTTGAATTTCGATATCTCAGCTCTGGAAGGGTCTAGAGCCTCCATTTTTGCACTCAGGTCAAAGTCTCACGGCCCTCTATCATAATCCAGAGTTTTGAGAAGATTGGAGAAACTTAATTTTTCGCCCGAAAATGAAAAAAAACGAAAGGGGTAACACTGTCGTTTTTTTTTTCGGGTCGAAATTTTGAATTTCGATATCTCAGCTCTGGAAGGGTCTAGAGCCTCCATTTTTGCACTCAGGTCAAAGTCTCACAGCCCTCTATCATAATCCAGAGTTTTGAGAAGATTGGAGAAACTTAATTTTTCGCCCGAAAATGAAAAAAAACGAAAGGGGTAACACTGTCGTTTTTTTTTCGGGTCGAAATTTTGAATTTCGATATCTCAGCTCTGGAAGGGTCTAGAGCCTCCATTTTTGCACTCAGGTCAAAGTCTCACAGCCCTCTATCATAATCCAGAGTTTTGAGAAGATTGGAGAAACTTAATTTTTCGCCCGAAAATGAAAAAAAACGAAAGGGGTAACACTGTCGTTTTTTTTTTCGGGTCGAAATTTTGAATTTCGATATCTCAGCTCTGGAAGGGTCTAGAGCCTCCATTTTTGCACTCAGGTCAAAGTCTCACAGCCCTCTATCATAATCCAGAGTTTTGAGAAGATTGGAGAAACTTAATTTTTCGCCCGAAAATGAAAAAAACAAAAGGGGTAACACTGTCGTTTTTTTTTTCGGGTCGAAATTTTGAATTTTGATATCTCAGCTCTGGAAGGGTCTAGAGCCTCCATTTTTGCACTCAGGTCAAAGTCTCGCGGCCCTCTATCATAATCCAGAGTTTTGAGAAGATTGGAGAAACTTAATTTTTTGCCTGAAAATGAAAAAAAACGAAAGGGGTAACACTGTCGTTTTTTTTTCGGGTCGAAATTTTGAATTTCGATATCTCAGCTCTGGAAGGGTCTAGAGCCTCCATTTTTGCACTCAGGTCAAAGTTTAGCGGCCCTCTATCAGAATCCAGAGTTTTGAGAAGATTGGAGAAACTTAATTTTTTGCCTGAAAATGAAAAAAAACGAAAGGGGTAACACTGTCGTTTTTTTTTCGGGTCGAAATTTTGAATTTCGATATCTCAGCTCTGGAAGGGTCTAGAGCCTCCATTTTTGCACTCAGGTCAAAGTCTCGCGGCCCTCTATCAGAATCCAGAGTTTTGAGAAGATTGGAGAAACTTAATTTTTCGCCTGAAAATGAAAAAAAACGAAAGGGGTAACACTGTCGTTTTTTTTTTAGGTTGAAATTTTGAATTTCGATATCTCAGCTCTGGAAGGGTCTAGAGCCTCCATTTTTGCACTCAGGTCAAAGTCTCACAGCCCTCTATCATAATCCAGAGTTTTGAGAAGATTGGAGAAACTTAATTTTTCGCACGAAAATGAAAAAAAACGAAAGGGGTAACACTGTCGTTTTTTTTTTCGGGTCGAAATTTTGAATTTTGATATCTCAGCTCTGGAAGGGTCTAGAGCCTCCATTTTTGCACTCAGGTCAAAGTCTCGCGGCCCTCTATCACAATCCAGAGTTTTGAGAAGATTGGAGAAACTTAATTTTTTGCCTGAAAATGAAAAAAAACGAAAGGGGTAACACTGTCGTTTTTTTTTCGGGTCGAAATTTTGAATTTCGATATCTCAGCTCTGGAAGGGTCTAGAGCCTCCATTTTTGCACTCAGGTCAAAGTCTCGCGGCCCTCTATCAGAATCCAGAGTTTTGAGAAGATTGGAGAAACTTAATTTTTCGCCCGAAAATGAAAAAAACGAAAGGGGTAACACTGTCGGGTTTTTTTCAGGTCGAAATTTTGAATTTCGATATCTCAGCTCTGGAAGGGTCTAGAGCCTCCATTTTTGCACTCAGGTCAAAGTCTCACAGCCCTCTATCATAATCCAGAGTTTTGAGAAGATTGGAGAAACTTAATTTTTCGCCCGAAAATGAAAAAAACGAAAGGGGTAACACTGTCGTTTTTTTTTTCGGGTCGAAATTTTGAATTTCGATATCTCAGCTCTGGAAGGGTCTAGAGCCTCAATTTTTGCACTCAGGTCAAAGTCTCACGGCCCTCTATCAGAATCCAGAGTTTTGAGAGGATTGGAGTAACTTAATTTTTCGCCCGAAAATGAAAAAAACGAAAGGGGTAACACTGTCGGGTTTTTTTCGGGTCGAAATTTTGAATTTCGATATCTCAGCTCTGGAAGGGTCTAGAGCCTCCATTTTTGCACTCAGGTCAAAGTCTTGCGGCCCTCTATCAGAATCCAGAGTTTTGAGAAGATTGGAGAAACTTAATTTTTTGCCCCCCCCAAAAAAATGAAAGGGGTAACACTGTCGTTTTTTTTTCAGATCGAAATTTTGAATTTCGATATCTCAGCTCTGGAAGGGTCTAGAGCCTCAATTTTTGCACTCAGGTTTATGTCTCATGGCCCTCTATCAGAATCCAGAGTTTTGAGAAGATTAGAGAAACTTAATTTTTCGCCCAAAAAAAAAAAAACACGAAAGGGGTACGTACCGCTGTCGTTTTTTTTTTTTTGGTCGAAATTTTGAGTTTCTCTGATCTTCTTGAACCTCTGGATTCTGATAGAGGGCCATGAGACTTAGACCTGAGTGCAAAAATGGAGGCTCTAGACCTTTCCAGAGCTGAGATTTGTTAAAGGATGTATAGGCCCAACCAGGTGTTATCAGAATCAAGATATTGACACGGATCCATCACAACATGTCTTCATATTACAGACTGAAGTGAGTGTTGGCAGTCAGGTGCTGGAGGTGTGGAGGAACGGATGTGAAGAGGACCCAATCAGCGCCAACACGCACTCATCCACATAAACACTGCTGGGCTTATTACACACAGCACTGATCTGGCACTGCACTACTGTGTACTTGACCAGACAGCAGGTGCACACGGACAAACACACACACACACACACACACACCACAGACAATGTGTAAATCTCAACAAAACCAGATCCTGGTCACACTTCACCCCAAAATATAAAGCAGGAAATATAAAGACTTAGACCTGAGTGCAAAAATGGAGGCTCTAGACTCAATACGTTGGATCTCAATATCTCGGCTCTGGAAGGGTCTAGAGCCTCCATTTTTGCACTCAAGTCTAAGTCTCATGGCCCTCTATCAGAATCCAGAGTTTTGAGAAGATTGGAGAAACTTCATTTTTCGCCCCCAAAAAAAACGAAAGGGGTACCACTGTCGTTTTTTTTTTCGGGTCGAATTTTTGAGTTTCGATATCTCAGCTCTGGAAGGGTCTAGAGCCTCCATTTTTGCACTCAGGTTTATGTCTCATGGCCCTCTATCAGAATCCAGAGTTTTGAAAAGATTTGAGAAACTTAATTTTTCGCCCAAAAAAAAAAAAAACGAAAGGGGTACCACTGTCGGTTTTTTTTAAGTGGGATGTCAATATCTCGGCTCTGGAAGGGTCTAGAGCCTCCATTTTTGCACTCAAGTCTATGTCTCATGGCCCTCTATCAGAATCCAGAGTTTTGAGAAGATTGGAGAAACTTCATTTTTCGCCTAAAAAAAAAAAACGAAAGGGGTACCACTGTCGGTTTTTTTTTGGGTCGAATTTTTGAGTTTCGATATCTCAGCTCTGGAAGGGTCTAGAGCCTCCATTTTTGCACTCAGGTTTATGTCTCCTGGCCCTCTATCAGAATCCAGAGTTTTGAGAAGATTGGAGAAACTTCATTTTTCGCCCAAAAAAAAAAACGAAAGGGGTACCACGGTCGTTTTTTTTTCGGGTCGAATTTTTGAGTTTCGATATCTCAGCTCTGGAAGGCACTCAGGTTTATGTCTCCTGGCCCTCTATCAGAATCCAGAGTTTTGAGAAGATTGGAGAAACTTAATTTTTCGCCCAAAAAAAAAAAACGAAAGGGGTACCACTGTCGTTTTTTTTTTTCGGGTCGAATTTTTGAGTTTCGATATCTCAGCTCTGGAAGGGTCTAGAGCCTCCATTTTTGCACTCAGGTTTATGTCTCCTGGCCCTCTATCAGAATCCAGAGTTTTAAGAAGATTGGAGAAACTTCATTTTTCGCCCAAAAAAAAAAACGAAAGGGGTACCACTGTCGTTTTTTTTTTCGGGTCGAATTTTTGAGTTTCGATATCTCAGCTCTGGAAGGGTCTAGAGCCTCCATTTTTGCACTCAGGTTTATGTCTCATGGCCCTCTATCAGAATCCAGAGTTTTGAAAAGATTGGAGGAACTTCATTTTTCGCCCAAAAAACTGTCGTTTTTTTTTTTTTTGGTCGAAATTTTGAGTTTCTCTGATCTTCTTGAAACTCTGGATTCTGATAGAGGGCCATGAGTCTTAGACCTGAGTGCAAAAATGGAGGCTCTAGACCCTTCCAGATCTGAGATATTGAGATATTTATAATGGCATACATGCTACGTGGGATGTCAATATCTCGGCTCTGTAAGGGTCTAGAGCCTCCATTTTTGCACTCAAGTCTAAGTCTCATGGCCCTCTATCAGAATCCAGAGTTTTGAGAAGATTGGAGAAACTCAATTTCTCGCCCCCCCCCCAAAAAAAAATTAAAGGGGTACGTACCACTGTCGTTTTTTTTTTTTTGGTCGAAATTTTGAGTTTCTCTGATCTTCTTGAAACTCTGGATTCTGATAGAGGGCCATGAGTCTTACACCTGAGTGCAAAAATGGAGGCTCTAGACCTGGGTTCACTAATCTTGGTCCTGGAGGGCCACTGTACCTGCAGAGTTTAGCTCCAACCCTGATCAAACACACCTGAGCAAGCTAATCAAGGTCTTCAGAATCACTAGAAACTCACAGGTAGGCGTGTTTGATCAGGGTTGGAGCTAAACTCTGCAGGGACAGTGGCCCTCCAGGACCGAGATTGGTGAACCCTGCTCTAGACCCTTCCAGATCTGAGATATTGAGATATTTATAATGGCATACATGATACGTGGGATGTCAATATCTCGGCTTTGGAAGGGTCTAGAGCCTCCATTTTTGCACTCAAGTCTAAGTCTCATGGCCCTCTATCAGAATCCAGAGTTTTGAGAAGATTGGAGAAACTTAATTCCCCCCCTCAAACTCAAATTTTGAGTTTCTCTGATCTTCTTGAAACTCTGGATTCTGATAGAGGGCCATGAGACTTAGACCTGAGTGCAATAATGGAGGCTCTAGACCCTTCCAGAGCTGAGATATTGAGATATTTATAGTGGCATAAATGCTACGTGGGATCTCAATATCTCAGCTCTGGAAGGGTCTAGAGCCTCCATTTTTGCACTCAGGTCTAAGTCTCATGGCCATCTATCAGAATCCAGAGTTTTGAGAAGATTGGAGAAACTTAATTTCTCGCCCCGAAAAAAAAAGAAAGCACTGTCGTTTTTCTCGGGTTCAAATTTTGAGTTTCTCCAATCTTCTCAAAACTCTGGATTCTGATAGAGGGCCATGAGAATTAGACCTGCGTGCAAAAATGGAGGCTCTAGACCCTTCCAGAACTGAGATATTGAGATCCCACCCACCATTAATGCCATTATAAATGTCTCAATATCTCAGCTCTGGAAGGGTCTAGAGCAGGGGTCGGGAACCTATGGCTCGCGAGCCATATATGGCTCTTTTCAGGATTTTATATGGCTCTCCCAATTTTCAAATGCTGACTGAAAAGGTCTCTCAAAAAGTAAAATATTAATAGACAATTTGAGATGCACCATGCAGCACTTGTTAATCACTTGTTTATGATGCCCGTTTCTCAATTTGTGTGGTGTCATAACACCGGACGAGAAGCGTCTCATTAGGACAGAAGTATCGCACACCGGACGAGAAGCGCGCGCCGCGTCTAGGAAAGAGGTAGCCTATTGCACACCGGACGCGCAAGTTTATGGCCGGCAATATTGTAATGTTTAAACTAAAGACATTATGGAATTAAGATAATGTCTGTACTATGTTATAATTGTACTGTACAATTAAATACAATCGTTGAAGTCTGCAGAACACTTTACCTCAGCAATTCTCATTTAAGCAGCTGATTTCTGAAAATGAATGTAAAAGTAAATATAAATTGCAGCACACAGTGAAGTCAGTATGTAGCCTACATTAACGACGGTTTGATACAAATAAAAGTAAATTTTATATAAAACTATGTAAATGGCGCTCTGTGGCAAAGCAGGATTTCGAACAAGGTTCTTCTGAGCCGTTGCTGGGCTCCGCGGACAGACACTGAATGTGCCGCCGGTCACCACTCCTAGGGGGCTGTTAACACCTGGCCACTTCATGCGTTTTCTCAGTTGGATAGCTATCTGATTTATCAAAACGATTCCATTTACACGCTGGTCACATAAATGTGTTTTTGCAAAACGGATATAGGCCTAAATCCGATCTTCAATTCACGCGCTATGCAGATTTAATGAAGTGCGCGTCACCGAAAGCAACAGATATGAGCCGAAATTTGATCTTTGGCTAATTTCAAAAAAAGCAAAGACAGCAATAAAGAGAGCGGCAACAGTCCTGGTAAGATCATTTTTTTTCTTTAGACTACTTTTATGGTAGTGTTAATCGTCTGCATCTTACTTTCACTTTGATTTGCGATGCGGCGCGTTGGCTTGGCGTTCAGCTGCTCATCTGAGGTAATGCGTGTCGCAGTTGCGTCGTCATATCTGACTAAAATAGCATGCCATATAGCCTATAATACGCTCTCACACGTTTATTTCTTAGCATTTTTGGGAGGAGTAAAATTTACATATGTGGTTTCAACAACCAGATGCATTTTACACATGTCCAGTTTCGTCTGGAATGCGGCCCAGACCACCTCCTGGTTTGAGCGATCGGATTCAAATCCGTCTCAAATGCGTTTCGGGGGGCATTTACACCTGGTCTTTTCACGATCGGATCGCTATCCGATCTCAGAAAACGCTTGAAGTGGCCAGGTGTAAACGGCGGAGTCATAGGGAATAAAGTGTTTGAATTTTAAATGAGGCGCTGCGCTTCTCGTCCAGTGTGCTAAGAAACCAGCATGTCAGTGAACAAAATTTTTGAAATCCCAAGTCTCCCGGAAGCATATTGAGTGTCTCCGGTCTCCCTGATGCCCGAAAATTAGTTAAAATCTCCCGGAATAGAGCGACATAGAACATGCTGCTATGTTATGTGCCTCGCGAAAGCTAGTCAGCCCCACCCCACACACATTTTTTTTTTTTTTTGTGGAAAAAAGTGTTGTTGTAACGTTATATAACTACCAGAACTGCTACTAGTGCAAGTTGTATATTACTACTGTTGTTATTATATATTACTGTTGTAAATTTGTCTAATATACGAGTGTAAACTTTGCTCTGGCTCTTTTGAAAAAATTCTCAATTTTGTTTAGTTTTTTTGGCTCTTCTTGGTAAAAAGGTTCCCGACCCCTGGTCTAGAGCCTCCATTTTGGCACTCAGGTCTAAGTCTCATGGCCCTCTATCAGAATCCAGAGTTTAAAGAAGATCAAAGACACTCAAACTACAGTGGTACCCCTTTCGTTTTTTTTTTTTTTTTTTTTCGGGGCGAGAAATTAAGTTTGTCCAATCTTCTCAAAACTCTGGATTCTGATAGAGGGCTGTGAGACTTAGACATGAGAGCAAAAATGGAGGCTCTAGACCCTACCAGAGCTGAGATATTGAGATGTTTATAATGGCATTAATGGTGCATGGGCTCTCAATATCTCAGCTCTGGAAGGGTCTAGAGCCTCCATTTTTCCACTCAGGTTTAAGTCTCATGGCCCTCTATCAGAATCTAGAGTTTTGGGAAGATTGGAGAAACTTAATTTCTCGCCCCGAAAAAAAAAAACGAAAGGGGTACCACTGTTGTTGTTTTTTCGGGTCGAAATTTTGAGTTTCCCTAATCTTCTTGAAAGTCTGGATTCTGATAGAGGTCCATGAGACCTAGACCTGAGTGCAAAAATTGAGGCTTTTTCCAGAGCTGAGATATTGAGATCCCACGCACCATTAATGCCATCATAAATATCTCAGCTCTGGAAGGGTCTAGAGTCTCCATTTTGGCATTGAGGTCTAAAGGCCATTGCACACTGAGTACGAAATTTTCGTATGCGTATTTTCGTGTTCGTCAGCCTAAAAATTCGTCACGCATAGAAACCTTGCACACCGAGTCCGTTGCGTATTTATTAAACGTTTGCGGGAAAAAAACGCATAAATACCAAATGGATTCGTCAAGCAGTGAGGATGATTTTTGCCCTCTCTCTTATTGAAAAGAGAAAAAAGAGAAAATATTACGTCCATCCAATCCTGAAATTGCGCCGAGACAGGAGAGTTCCACCTTATCAAGGAGTTGCGAATTTATCCTGAGCGATTCAAAATTTACCTCAGAATGTCAGTGGAAAAGTTTGATGCTTTGCTAGCGATTCTGGAGCCACATATTAAAAACAAGACCACCAAATTCCGTGAACCAATCGATCCTGAACGGAGACTGGCAGTGTGTCTGGTGTGGACCAGCTATGGACACACACACAAACACACACACACCCGCGCGCGGCCCGTTGGAAGCACTGGGCAGACAGAACAGCTAGGCTGTTATTGTGTATATATTGTGGCCAAATAATACATTAGTTATCAAATAGGCTGCTCAATCACACCTTATTTGATCCTAAATTTCAATCTGATTGAAAGGGGAGGTTTATTAATTTCATAATCCAATATAGAGAAGAGAACATAAACACTTGATCGAATTGAAAACCGAAACTGAAAGCACGGCGCATATGTGCAATGATGTGAGGACGAGCTCCCCCCGGCCCTGAATTGTCAAAAGACCTCTCAAAATGCTGGCTCTGGATGCGAAAAACGCAGAAAATCGAACCCGATCCGATTAATTTTATGACGGACGAAAGTTTCGGAGGCGGTGTGCAAGCGTGACTGACAT